TCCCAAAGGTAACTATACTGTTAAATTTTGTGGGTGTGTGTATGTTAAGCTTCTAGAATTTTTTTGTGGCATACACATACAAACTTATCTAACAAACATTTTTCTATAGATGGGTAATTTTTTGCTTTGTTTTTAATAGAAGCAGACCAATTCTAAGCATATTGTTATTCATTTTGCTGCTTACACTTATATTCTGACTAATGTTCTATATTAGCACATAAAGGTTTACCTTATTCACAAAAATGGATATTTAAATAAGTATCAGGCTTTAGATTGATAGGTATTAAGGTTTAGATTTTTCGGCTTACCAATAATGCAATAATTAACATATTTGAATATATAACTTTATGTACTAGTGTTACTATGTCAGTTCCTACAAGTAGAATTTCAACATTTTAGATACTGAAAGTTATAGCCAAATCATCCACCAAAAATACTGCATTGATATCATCCTCCCTACCTCTTCAAACTATTCTTAACACTAAATGTTACCAACTTTTAAATCTCTGCCAATCTGGAAGATAAATATTTTAATCTGTATATCTATAATTATGAATAAAGTTAAACCACTCTTCCACTGCATGGTTCATCTTTTTCTTTTCTTTTCTTTTTTTTGAGACAGAGTCTTGCTCTGTCACCCAGGTTGGAGTGCAACAGCACAATGTAGGCTTACTGCAACCTCCACCTCCCAGGTTCAAGCAATTCTCTTGACTCAGCTTCCCACATAGCTGGGATTACAGGAGTCCACCACCATGCCTGGCTAATTTTTGTATTTTTAGTAGAGACGGGGTTTCACCACATTGGCCAGGCTGGTCTTGAACTCCTGACCTCAGCCAATCTGCCCGCCTTGGCCTCCCAAAGTGCTGGGATTACAGGCGTGAGCTACCATACCCGGCCAGTTCATTTTTCTTATAGGCTTATAAGAGTCCTGATACAGTCAGGAAATTTACTCTTTGTCACATGTTGTAAGCTTTTTTTTATTTTTGATATGAGTCTTGCTCTGTCAACGAGGCTGGAGTGCAGTGGCACAATCTTGGCTCACTACAAACTCTGCCTCCTGGTTCAAGCGATTCTCCTGCCACAGCCTCCCGAGTAGCTGGAACTACAGGCATGTGCCACCACGTCCAGCTAATTTTTTTGTATTTTTAGTAGATCTTGGATTTCGCTACGTTACCCAGGCTAGTCTCAAACTCCTGACCTCAGGCAATCTGCCCACCTTGGCCTTTCAAAGTGCTGGGATTACAGTCATAAGCTACTGCCCCGCCAACATTTTTCCATTTGTTGTCTTTTAAGAGTGATTATGTTTTTTAAATTTAGTTTAGTTTAGTTTTTTACTGTCTAGAGAATTTCTCTATTCTTCCCATTAGGGCTGTTCAATTTTCTGTAGGCTTTTAAACTTACCTGGAGCTGAGACGAAAATAAATTAAAAAGAAAAAAAAAATTTTTATGTAGGCTTCAAAGGTCCTTCCCATTTCAAATATAAAAATAATACAGATGTATTTTACTACTTTGATCATTATATTTTTGCTAAGAGTTTTCAACAACTGTAAATTAAAATGTAGATACATCATTATTTACTCAGCTGGAGTTCAATTACATAAAATATAGAAAAAACTACTATTATAGAAGGAAACAAGTATTGACAGTGACTGCAGCTGAATGGTAGAATTATATAGTTTTCTGTGCTTTCCAAATTTTCTACATTGAACATACTTTCATAATCAGAAGAAAATAAACTTCCTTAAATTCATCATACTTAAATATTTTTCTTACGTTTTTTACAGTACTGGCTTCAATTATCAGTCAATTATTATTTGAGTACCTGATCCAGCCTGAGTCTCTACAGGAAAAAATGTTAATGAGTCAGATAAGGATCTGTTGAAAACAAGAATTACAGCTCCATTTGGGAAGTTCGTATCAACAGTAATCACAATAATAGTTACATTAATATCTTTTAAGTACTAACTATGCAAGATATTAAAACTCAGTAATTTATCACAACACTTTTATAATATGAATACAATTATATCCCCATTTTACAGACTAGGAAACTAAGGCAAAGAAAGATGAAATAACTTTCTCAAGTCATGCAAACTAATAAGTAGCAGAGCCAGAATTGGAACTCAAAGGATCTTGTTCCAGAATCCTCATTCCCAATTTCTTAAACTAAAGTGCTATTTAAAGGGTGAACAGAAGAAATGGGAAGCTACTTCTGACAGCCTAGAAAGTGTTCAAGTCAAGAATGAGACTAAGCCAAAAAGGACTTGTAAGTAGATTTGTCAGGAAAAAAAAAAAATGAGTTTTTAGGAAATATGATATGCCCTGATTTCTTTTTACAAATCTCTAGCTTCAAATGGAAGCTTTTTCCTCTTTTCTTATTTAGGTAACATCTCTAAGCAGATCTCTGAGCTGTTTCTCAACTATAATACCAGTGTACAGCCACAAGATAAGAATGCTCTAAAGAGCTGGGTAATAACAAATACCTGTCAAATAACTATTGCTAACATTAAGGTTTTTTAAAAGTAAAAACTAAAGACTGGGCGAGGTGGCTCATGCCTCTAACCCCAGCACTTTGGGAGGGTGAGGTGAGCGGATCACTTGAGGTCAGGAGTTCAAGACCAGCCTGGCCAACATGGTGAAACCCCATCTCTACTAAAAATATAAAAATTAGCTGGGCATGGTGGCACACGCCTATAATTATAGCTACTCTGGAGGCTGAAGCACGAGAATCGCTTGAACCCAGGAGGCACAGGTTGCAGTGAGCTGAGATCACACCTCTCTGCATGCCAGCCTGGGTGACAGAGGGAGACTCTATTAAGGCTGGGCATGGTGACTCATGCCTGTAATCCTAGCACTTTGGGAGACTGAGGTCAGGATCACCTGCGGTCAGGAGTACAAAACCAGCCTGGACAACATGGTAAAACCCCATCTCTACTAAAAATACAAGAATTAGCTGGGCATGGTGGTGGGCACCTATAATCCCAGCTACTTGGAGGCTGAGGCAGGAGAATTGCTTGAAACCAGGAGGTGGAGGTTGCAGTTAGCTGAGATCACACCATTGCACACCAGCCTGGGAGACAAGAGTGAAACTTCGTCTCAAAAAATTAGTAAATAATTAATTAAAAACATACATACTTGACCATAAGAATGTAGGCAAAAGCATAAATGAAAGGCATATGCTGGGCATGGTGGCTTACACCTGTAATCCCAGCACTTTGGGAGGCCAAGGCGGGCAAATCACCTGAGGGCAGGAGTTCGAAACCAGCCTGACCAACATGGAGAAACCCAATCTCAACTAAAATTACAGAATTAGCCTGGCATGGTGGCGCATGCCTGTAATCCCAGCTACTCGGCAGTCTGAGGCAGGAGAATTGCTTGAACCTAGGAGGCGGAGGTTGTGGTAAGCCAAGATCGCGCCACTGCACTCCAGCCTGGACAAAAAGAGTGAAACTCTGTCTCAAAAAAACAAAAAGAAAAGAAAAAGAAAAGAAAAGAAGAAAGGCATATAAAGAAGTTTCTGTAAATCAAATTTGTCTTTTGTATTTGTAAGCTTCTCTGAGTATCAATGGCCAAACTGAACTAGTAATATCTCTGAGAAAAAAGCTTTTACGGTGGCAGCAATTTTTTTTTTTTTTTTTTTGAGACGGAGTTTCACTCTTGTTGCCCAGGCTGGAGTGCAGTGGTGTGATCTTGGCTCACTGCAACCTTCACCTCCCAGGTTCAAGCGATTCTGGTGCCTCAGCTTCCCGAGTAGCTGGGATTACAGGCATGCACCATCATGCCCAGCTAAATTTTCTATTTTTAGTAGAGATGGAGGGTTTCATTATGTTGGCCAGGCTGGTCTCTAACTCCTGACCTTAGGTGATCACCTTGACCTCCCAAAGTGCTGGGATTACGGGTGTGAGCCACTGTGCCTGGCCCGTAGCTAATTTTTTTTTTTTTTTTTTGAGACAGAATCTTGCTCTGTCACCCAGGCTAGAGTGCAGTGGCACGATCTCAGTTCACTGTGATCTCCACTTCCCAGGTTCAAGCAATTCTCCTGCCTCAGCCTCTCAAGTAGCTGGGATTACAGGTATGTGCCACCATACCTAGCTAATTTTTATATTTTTAGTAGAGACGGGGTTTCACCATGTTGGCTAGGCTGGTCTCGAATTCCTGACCTCAGGTGATCCACCTGCCTTGGCCTCCCAAAGTGCTAGGATTACAGACATGAGCCACTGTGCCTGGCTGGTGGCAGCAATTATTAAAACACAGTTTAATTACAGATGAATGGCTAGAGATTGCCATTGGTAATGATAACAGCCACAAGTCTGAAACCCAGGAGCTCTCTACAATCTAATTTTGATGTTGACTGTTTTCTATAGATTTACTATACACACTCTGGTTTCTCTTCAGCCGTATAAATATTTTCCCTTTTACAAAATTGGCCTGAGTTTTTGAAATCTACAAAATAGAGATTAAAATAACTGTTAATTGCTGCTATGAAAAATGACATTCTATTAGAAACCAGGAGGGCATTTATGAATTGATAAATGGTTACCATATAGGAAAAAAACTGCTTAGATTAATTTTTGAACACACCATGTTTGAAAAAAACAAATGTGGGTAATGAGTGATTACTATCTCTTGATATTGTATATTGATAATTTTGAAATATAAGGTTATGACCCACAGGGAAATGACAGAATGACCCCAAAGAGAAAGGAGAGACTCAGGAGAAGGTTAGCTAAAGGTTGCACAAAAAGGAAAAATCTGGCCCTGTATTATAGTCTTTCTTTTAATTCCTCACTTTCAATCTCTTTCTCGCAGCCTTGAGGAGTGACTTATTTGTGATGTAAACAGTAAATCTTAGGGGAGCAAGCATTGGTCATTGTGGCACCCTGAGGACCTTAGTTTTAGAGGAAGAAAAACTGATGAGCTAAGAGCCCCAAAAAGGATCATAAATGGGGACAATAAATATTTCTAGAGATGTGGAATAACAAAGTAAAACTTATACTTACAAGTTTAGATTCACGAGCTTTAGGAAACATTTTGGCAACATTGAGGCCGTCAATGACAATATCAAAAGGAGGACAAGATTTTACAAAGTTCTCAAATCTCTTAAGTTCCTAAAAAAGAAAAGTCAGACAAACATTAATAAGAACTTAGTAAGGACTTTATTATAAACACACTGCAATGACTTCTATTGTTTTGATATTTCAAAATATTCATCCCTTAAAAATACACACACACACAGATATTCTCAAAATGAAACCTGAAAAAGCCAGTCTAGTGGATGCAACTGTATACAATTATCTAACGCATTTTTTTTTTTTTTTTTAAGAAGGGGTTTCACCATGTTGGTCAGGCTGGTCGTGAACTCTCGACCTCAGGTAATCCACCCGCCTCGGCCTCCAAAGTGCTTGGATTATAGGCGTGAGCCACTACGCCGGCCTATCTAATGCATTTTATAATCTCAAGGTGCTTTACACTTCACAAAGCATTTTCTTTTTTTTTTTTTTTTTGAGACAGAGTTTCGCTCTTGTTACCCAGGCTGGAGTGCAATGGCACAATCTCGGCTCACCGCAACCTCTGCCTCCTGGGTTCAGGCAATTCTCCTGCCTCAGCCTGCCGAGTAGCTGGGACTACAGGCGTGCGCCATCATGCCCAGCTAATTTTTGTATTTTTAGTAGAGACGAGGTTTCACCATGTTGACCAGAATGGTCTCGATCTCTTGACCTTGTGATCTACCTGCCTCAGCCTCCCAAAGTGCTGGGATTACAGGCGTGAGCCACCGCGCCTGGCCTTCACAAAGCACTTTCATATGTAATTTCATTTGATCCACAGCTGGCAATGTTAGGAAACATTGCCAAAATACTTCCTAAATGTTTTCTAAACTAGCCCACGTGATAGTAATGATCAGAATGAATTGTTCAAAATCTCTAAGTCCTGTTCTGTAAGCCAAGGAGAAGTGAACCTTAGATATGCCACTCTTACCGGCGCGACTGTGCTCAAAGAACAAGGCTCTAAAATGTGTAGGTCCTCTTTTGTCACTAACAGGCTTTTATTTACTTGGCTGTTTTGGATAGGTAAAGATTTAATGAATATTTGCTGAGCACCTACTATATGCCTAGCAGTTTACCAAAGAGAAAAACAAAACAAAAAACCCTAACTTAATGGAGCTTAGTGGGAGGATGCACAAAATAAACCAAGTAAATAAGTAAATAATATTAAATGTGAGAATGCTACGGGAAAAAAAAGTATGGCAGGGAGATCCACCTCTGGTAATGATGGAACAGTTTATATTGGATTATTAGATAATAATACAAATTCTAGATAAATACCCAACATTTTTGAAGGTACCAAAGAATGAGCAAAAGAAGGCAGAAACTGGAGGGGACATGACATTTGAAAGGTTTGGTAGTTTTAAAATCTGTCTGAAAATTAATTGACACTCCTTTCTCAAAAGGTGGTGTCTAATACCCTATGCTTAATTATGGGCTCTCCTTTGTGACTTCCTCAAAGAACAGCATGTGGCAGAAGTGACATAATGGGATTTCTGAGGGTAGAAAATAAAAGATAATACAGCTTTCATCTGACTCTCACTCTCAGGATGCTTGCTCTTGGAAACCAGCATCCTGAGAATGCCCAAGTAGAGGTCACATGTAAGTGTTTCACCTGACAGTCCAGTGGAGTCCCAGCCAACAGCCAGCTAGCATTGATCCCCACATTGATGAGACCGAGGGGGATTTCAAGATGACCCCTAACCCTATTGGATTATAATAATAGAGGATTCAAGCAAGAACCATCAACTGAGTCTCATTAACCCCTAAAACCATAATAATAATAATAATAATAAATAATTATGGTTTTTAATGCCATTATATTTGGGGGGAAAAAAGGAAAGAAAATAAGAAAATTATACAAGGTAACATTTGCCTAGGTCAGAGGGCACTCTCCAGACAGTATGGCCAGCAGGAACAGCTGGAAATGAAGCAGAAAGCTGCAGAACTTACTGATTTGATGAAACAGAAGACAGAGTTTGGGGGCAACCAGAGGTTGGAAAATGACAGGGTTTTATCCTAAAATGGATAAAACCACAAAATTTGCATATAAATCTGCCAAAATCCTTGGGTAAAACATGATCTGTACATGCTTGGAGAAGATTCCAAGGAGTCCAGCAAAAAAGCAATAGCCGAAAGACTTAAAAGACCTAAGCAGAGATTGCAGCTGCTACCCATTACAAGGAAAACAGAGTTTAGAGTCTAAGTCTCAAGAAGTTTAACAGCCTGCTAAATTAGCAAAAAAATCAATAATTTCCAGGGAACATAAATAATCTCTAAAGCCTCTGCAATGTGTCATTCACAATGTCTGATACACAATTCAAAATTAATAAACATAAAAAGAAATACAAAAATGTAATTCATAGTCAAAAAAAAAAAAAAAAAAAAAAGAGGAGTCAAAAGAAACCAATCCAGGCCAGGCACAGTGGCTCAAGCCTGTAATCCCAGCACTTTGGGAGGCTAAGATAGACAGATTACTTGATGTCAGGAGTTTGAGACCAGCCTGGCCAACATGGTGAAACCTCATCTCTACTAAAAATACAAAAATTAGTCAGGCATGGTGGTGCACACCTGTAATCCCAGCTACTCAGGAGGCTAAGGTAAGAGAATCACTTGATCTCAGGAAGTGAAGGTTGCAGTGAGCCAAGATTACACCACTGCACTCCAGCCTGGGCAACAGACATTAACTCCATCTCCAAAAAAAAAAAGAAACCAATCCAAGGTCTAGATGCTTGAATTAGCAGACAAGAACTATAAAGTAACTGTTTCAAATATAATCAAAAATTACGCCTATAATCCCAGCACTTTGGGCTGCAGAGGTGGGTGGATCACCTGAGGTCAGGAGTTCGAGACTAGCCTGGCCAACATGATGAAACCCTGCCTCCACTAAAAATACAAAATTTAGCCAGGCGTGGTGGCATGCACCTGTAATCCCAGCTACTTGGGAGGCTGAGGTTGCAGTGAGCCAACATTGTACCACTGCACTCTAGCCTGGGCAACAGAGTAAAACTCCATCTCAAAAAAAAAAAAAAAAAAAAAAAGGCAAAGAGAACTAAGGGGTAAATATAGTCATAACGAATGCAAAGAAAAAGAACAAAATGAACACTATAGAACCAAAAAGCACAAACGTTAAATAAAATGTTCACAGGATGGATTTAACAGCCAATTGGAGACGGCAGAAGAAACAGTCAATGAATACGAAAGAGCAACAAAAAATCATATAATTTGATGAAAACAAAAGGATGAATTGGGTCTCAGTAACCTGTGGTACAATATCAAACAGATCAACATGTGTATTTACAATCTAGAAGGAAAGGATAGAAAGGACAGAGTAGTAAAAAGTATTTGAATGGCCAAAACATCCCCAAATTTCATGAAATACATAACTAACCTAAGAAGCAGAGCAAACTCAAAGCAGAATAAACACAAAGAAAACCACAAGTAAAACTATAACTAGGCACATCTAGTAAAACAGATGAAAATCAAAAATAGAAGAATCTAAAAGCAGTCAGAAAAAAAGGATACATTGCATAAAAAGGAATAATGATACAAATGACAGTTTAGTTCTCATCAGACACAATGGGGCCAGAGGACATCTTTAAAAGGACGACAGACAACAAATAAAATAACAACAAAAACTGCTTTCAATCCAGAATTAGATATCTAGTAAAAATATCCTTCAAAAATTGAGGCAAAAAAAAATTAAGGTGAAATAAAGACATATTCAGGTAAATGAAAATAGAGAACTTATCACCAGCTAGCCTGCAAAACAAGAAATGCTGAAGCTGGCCAGTGCCATGGCTCATGCCTGTAATCCCAACATTTTGAGAGGCCCAGGTAGGAGGATCACTTCAGGTCAGGAATTCAAGACCAGCCTTGGCAACATAGCAAGATACTGTCTAGACAAAAAAGAAAGAAAGAAAGATAGACAGAGGCAGTGGCTCACGCCTATAATCCCAGAACTTTGGGAGACTGAGGTGGGAGGATCATCTGAGGTTGAGAGTTCGAGACCAGCCTGACCAACATGGAGAAACCCTGTCTCTACTAAAAACATGAAATTAGCTGGGCATGGTGGCGCATGCCTGTAATCCCAGCTTCTTGGGAGGATGAGGCAGGAGAATTGCTTGAACCCAAGAGGCAGAAGTTGTGGTGAGCTAAGATCACACCACTGCACTCCAGCATAGGCAACAAGAGTGAAACTCTGTCTCATAAATAAACAAATGACATACAACTACTTAAAGCAAAAATTATCATAGCACTACATTATGGGGCTTAAAACATAATACAGATATAACATATGTTTTAAGCTATAATAAAACAATAGCACAAAGACCAGGAAGTGGTAAATAGAATTCTACTGCTATATCGTTCTTGTATCTCATGTGTTTTGGTTCAATATAAACTCTAAGTAGACTGAATTAAGTTAAGGATTTAGATTGTAAAGCCAAATCATACATTTAAAAAATAACAGAGCTCTGTAGGCCAAAGTTAATAAAAATTTTAAAAAGTTAAAAAAAATAATGTAAAAAGGTATAAAGGCCAATAGAAGAATTAAATGAAAAATCAAAATAAATTGGATTAACCCAAAAGGAGACATGAAAGGAGAAACAGAAGAACAAAAAACAGATGGGACAAATAGAAGACAAAGAGCAAATAAAATGTTTAAATCCACACTTACAAAAAATGCTATCTATAATAAATGTACTTATCTTTAATACAGAATAAGTGGGAAGTAAAAAGTAGGGGAAAATACGTATCTTGCATCAGTAAGCTTAAGAAACTTGGAATGATGACACTAATGTTAGACAAAATAGACTTGAAGAAAAGGAGTACTATAAAAAATAATAAAAGGGACACTTCATAATGATGACAGAATCAATATATCAAAGTCATATCATAAATAAGAATAGAGCTCCAAGATGTGGATGAAGCAAAAGCTGACAGAACAAAGGAGGAATAGGTACATCTATAATTATAGATGGAGATTTCAACACCCTTCTCTGCAATCAATTATGATTGAACAAGTAGATAAAAATCAGTGAGGACTTAGAAGACAAATCCATACT